TATCTGTGATGGAATGAGGTATTAAAAGACTTACTTTTTTCCTTAATTATTTGATTCTTTTCTGTTTGCTTTTCTGAAATAAAGTTTAGACTGTTCCTCTTCTTAATGCAGAGCTGAAGTAGTTGAGCAGTAGTGTTCCATGTTCACTGAGATGGAAAGTGACTGTGTTATTCATTCTTCCTCTGTGACTCAGTCTCAATTAGTAAGAGTGTTGTTCAGACAACTTCAATATCCAGATTTGAAAACTGTAATTATGTTTAGTTTCTATGGATCATTTTTGATCCTTTATCCTGGAAGATCCAAGAATCATAGAATCATTCTGGTTGGAAAAGACCTTCACAATCATCAAGCCCAACTGTAAACCCACCGCCACCATACCTACTAAACCACAGAATCATAGAATCATAGAATGCTTAAGGTTGGAAGGGACCTCTAGGGTCATCTAGTCCACCATGTCCCTAAGTGCTTCTTCTACATATGTCTTGGACACTGCCAAGGACAGTGGCTCCACCACTTCCTTGGGGAGCCCCTTCCAATGCTTCATACTCTTTCCGTATAGAATTTTTTCCTAATATCTAACCTGAGCCTCTCTTGGCACAACTTGAGGCCGTTTGCTCTTGTCATGAGTTATTTTGGACTTGGCCTTGTTCAACCTCATACAGTTGGCCTCAGCCCATCCACCCAATCTGTGCATATTCCTAGAGCCTTCTTACCCTCAAGCAGATCACCTCTTCCTCCCAGCTTGGTGTCACCTGCACCCTTGCTGAGGGTGCACTCAACCCCCTCATCCAGATCATCCATAAAGATAATAAAGTGGAGGGGCCCCAACACCGACCCCTGGAGAACACCGCCCGTGACCGGTCACCACCTGGATTCAACCCCCTTCACCACCACTGACTGGGCCCAGCCGTCACCCAGCAGAGTCCACCTGTCTAAGCCACGAGCTGCCAGCTTCTCCAGGAGGAGGCAGTGGGAACCTGTGTCCAAGGCCTTCCTCATGTCAAGGTAGACCATGTCCACGGCCTTTCCCTCATGCACTGCGTGGGTCACCTGGCCACAGAAGGAGCTCAGGTTGGTGAGGCAGGACCTGCCTTTCATGAACACGTTTGGCTGGGCCTGATCCCCTGCGCTCGCCCTTGAGATGATCCGCTCCATAACGTGCCCAGATACCAAGGTCAGCCTGGATGATTGTGTTTTTCCATTGTTCAATTATATTTGCTTCTTTAAAATGAATATTTATATGGGATTTTGCTGGCTTTGTGACTGTTCACTGTTGTCCTCCCACACACACACACATAAAAATCTTCAAAGGAATCAAAAATAGCTAAAAGGTGAAATTTCTTTGGCCATTTGCTCGTGGGTTACTTAGTCTGCTTTCTACTTAGTATTTCTTTCTTCCTTACAACATTTTCGGGTTTTTTCCTGTCATTTACTTGACCTCCTCATTGTGAGTTCCTTTTGCTTTTGTGCCATCCTCCCTTTTTCCTCTGAGTTTTGACTGAGTGAATACATTCTTCCTCTCCCATTCCCAGTACAGACATTCTTTGATCACAGATTTTCAAGCAGGTGTAGTAGCAAAGCAGTAGAGAGTGGCCAATTTTACTTCTTGCATTTTTATTCCAGAAGAAGTGCTGATTGGCATGCATTATTTTAGCAAATTTTGTCTGCTTAAAACGATTCCAAAGCTTTTTCCTGTGCTGGTGGATTTTAAAGCTTACTCCTGTGACATTCGACTGGAATGCTTTTGAATGTTTAGAATTTATTTGGTCCTACCCTGAGTTATGTTTACCAAGTCTAGCTAGTAATGGTGTTTTCATGCATCCCTCTATCCTGTTCTTTCAGCCTGAAATGACTTTTTTAGATCATGTTAAAATAGGTCACTGGCGGATCCTCCTCTACTTAATTAGCGTGTTTCTGCTTCAGTATTATTCTATAATTTTCTGCCCAGCTTTTGGCTATTCCAGCTGTGTTTTTCCTTAAAGCTTTTCTGGGCTCTGTGTGCCATGAGCAGAGCTCTTAGTACAACTTGTCTGCTTGATCACAGAAGTTATAACCATCATGAAGTCAGCAGTTACTTCTCTTTGGGTTTGTTCATCTTGCTTTCCTTAGTTAAGCATCTTTAACCTCATTTGATATCTTGAAAATGTCACTCCCTAATACTGGGAGGTTTTAACAACTAATAGCTGAAGTGGTGATTCATCTTGCTTTCCCTAGTTAAGCATCTTTAACCTCATTTGTTATCTTGATAATGTCGCTCCCTAATACTGGGAAGTTTTAACAACTAATAGCTGAAGTGGTGAATGCAGCATTCACAATGTTCTTTATGTCTTCAGCCGTGTCCACCAACGATCTCGTGTGCCATCGATCTTAGCTGCCCTATACTATTAAACCGCTTCGCAGGTAAACCACTGTGATCTTCCTCTTAGCCCCTGCTTGTTACTTTTTCTGGTCTGCAGGACCTAAAGCCTTTTTATCTCTGTCCCTTCTAACACCTGCTTTTTGTTCTAAAATTACTGCCTATTTTTTTCTCTCAAGTTAGGAACAATTTGCTTAAGTAATAAAAAAAAATCTGAAATAATCTTGACCATTAAAGCCTGGGCGTTAAATTCTTGGCTCTACTTAACATTTGAATTTGGTTGAGTCACTTTCTAGCATTTAGCTTGGAGTTTGCAGTTTCTTTTTCACACCTTATAAAAATTAAGTACACCAAAGCTCAGAACTTTTTCCAAGTTTATCAGCCAATATAATAAAAGATTCAGTAACTCTTCCTACAAACCTTACTTTTCTCATATCCTTATGGCAACACAGCTACAACAAAGTTAATGCTGTTCGTCTTATACTCGCATGCTGATCTAACTTGGCAGTCTTAGTAATGCTCTTGATTTATGCAGTCTAGTGAAATAGCTCAGTCACACTTTGCTTGTAGTTTCAGATAGTGTCTACTGCAATTTCAAAGTGGATTTCTGCTGAGAGGTGGTATTCTCCTTCCATCTCTTGCTGTGCATTCTGACTTTGTATCAGATCTAGTGGTTGTATGGCCTTAGGATCAGTTGGATCATCTGGTTGATTTAACAGAACATCAGTGTCTGCAAACTATTACTTGCGTGTGGGAGTTGCTGATCGGACTAACAACTGTGTCTGTCCTGTGTATGACCAGCTGAGCAAAAGGATTTGGGAAGACCATGCCTTTCACAGCCAGCCTTTAGTTAGAGATTAAATTCAATAATAATAAATATGTGTATTTCACGTCACTGCGGAAATGTTACATATCCACCCTGCTCTTGAATAAAGTTCTGTGAGCTGTTGGCAAAGCAAGGGCATCTAGCATGAGCTCCCAGGCAGTGCTGCAGGCTGGTGTCCAGCCGAGACCCCGGGGCTGTCCCAGCACGGGCAACATCCACTGCTTCCTTGCTGGAGTCCTTGGAGTTACTTGTCTTTCAGAGGGTTATCGCTCTGGTTCTCCTTTTACTACTCTGCAGGTTTTTGTTTTACTCATACGTGCCCTTATTTTGGAACAGGACATGAACTAGGCGATAGGAAAATGAGCTAAAACTGCTCTGAAAGTGGGGCCAGAATTGTCAGTGAAATCCAGAGCTCACTGAGGGTGCTGGACATCATAGAATCATAGAATGCTCAGGGTTGGAAGGGACCTCTAGAGATCATCTAGTCCAACCCCCTGCACACGCAGGGTCACCTAGAGCACGTGGCCCAGGACTGCGTCCAAGCGGGTTTGAAGATCTCCAGAGAAGGAGACTCCACAACCTCTCTGGGCAGCCTGTTCCAGGGCTCTGGCACCCTCACTGGGAAGAAATTTTTCCTTAAGTTCCTGCGGAACTTTTGGTGCTTCAGTTTGTGGCCATTTCCTCTAGTCCTATCAGTGGCCACCAGATAAGTACCACTAAGTGCTCCTGTCACATCTGCTTCTTTCTGCCTCTTGATTTGAAACAGGTTCTGATAGGCAATATGACATAACTAAAATATGTGCTAATATGCTGGAAAAAATAAGGTATTTTGTTTTAAAAAATATGTTGTCAAACATTTATTTCTTATTTAACTCAAAAGGTATGAAATGAACCATAGTGAGGGTGAGTTTCAGTTCAGCAACAGTAATTCCTCCTTTTGCTGTTACCTCTCCTTATCTCTTTATTTACTTGCTTTTCTTGTTTCTTTCTGTATAGCCATAGTGGTGATGATACCCACTGCTAATTTATTCTGTTTAGTTACTTTTGCCAGTTAGTAAAATATTCGAAATACTTAAATAGTTGGACTCAAAAATACTTTAACAGTTGGACATATTCTCACAAACTGAAAGTAAGTATCCAGTTCTATGGTACTGGGAAGCTCCATACTTAGATTGCTTTAAAAAGTAATTGCAGAAAACACTGTAAGACTTCTAATGATGTCAGATTGACTGTTTGGCAGACGCAAAAGGTAAAGATAATTATTGCTTATTTTTCTACAGATTTTACTGTTGATGCCTATAAAATTATGTGTGTAGTTGGTTTTGGTTTTAGTGATGAGCTTTGCTAAGGTTACTTGTCATCAATTCTGCTTCCAGTCCAGTATATTAGCTAATATGAGCACTAGGTTTATTTGGCATTGGGAAAGGCAGGAAAGTCACTGTCCTCGTTATATTTAATTAATTTGTTTTGTGCTGCATTCCAGGCAGACGCACAAGTACAATAATGGTCTTGATTTCCAATTGTATACAACAGCTCTAGCCATAATAGTCTCAAGATAGAGGGCTGTGATTAAAACATGTCAATCAAGTAGTCCTGATGACTGATTGCTGGTGAAGAGAGCGCATGGACGTGGATTAGGCCACTTGCATTTACAGCAACGACTATAATGAAAACGCTGTTTTGGTAGCAGTAGTTGATTTCCTTTGTTATTCCCACTGCCTTTCCCTCCCTATTTCCCTTAATTGGAACTTGATTCCTATGTGATCATAGTTGCAGCTATTTCTGACTGTCTTCTGCTGCCGTGGGCTTGTTTTCTAGATGGGAAGTGACGGAGTTTTGCGCCTCAGTAGTTCCGCTCTGAACAATGAATTCTTTGCATATGCAGCACAAGGGTGGAAACAACGATTGGCAGAAGGTAACTCCACTTGTTCTCCCATTTACCAGATATTCATTATTGTTGTGAAGGATGCCTTTGTTTCGCTGTTTGAGAAATACTTTTGGAATGGAAAATGTAATACAGCAGCAATTCAGCAATGAATATATGCTGATGCCATTTTGAATTCTACAGCCTGCCATGGCAGCTTATTTTGACAGTTAGAAAAAAAATACAAAAACCATTTTCATCACTGTCAGACTTGGAAACATAAATGCATGTGACTAAATCCTCCCAAAATACCTTGTAAATACTAGAGTTATATGCTAAACGAGATCTTTCTAGGTCAAACTCACTTTTGCTTTTCATCATTTTAATTTTGGCTTGCTGGATGACTGTAAGAGCATCATGTCATATGTGTATCTGTAATTTACAATGATCCTATTTTAGACTAAACCTTGACAACTTTTATTCAATATGTTAGTATTTGTTTTTTAGGAGAATTTACTCCAGAAATGCAGTTGCGCATCAGACAAGAGATTGAAAAGGAAAAGAAAACTGAACCTTGGAAAGAAAAATTCTTTGAAAGGTTTTATGGTGAAAAGTAAGTACTGAAGCAAATAAAAGCATTTTTTTTTCATTTTCTTTTAGGAGGAAATGAAAATATAATTCTCTGCTTCACATAGCGCAGGCATATGCTGTAAAACTTAATAAGGCAGTTATCAAAGGCAGTCATTCCCCATATAAGAAGCTGTGGGTAGAATTATAGTGGCATGTCTGCACTTGCATTACAATTGCATTTTTAAGGTTCATAACTCATCCATAAAAATTCATTCTGAGGAAAGTTTAGGACACAAGGCCTAAGCATATATTTTATTTTTATTTCTAAAGATAGCATAAGAGCAATTCTCTCCTCCTGTAAAATATAAAATCAGTCTCTGCAGAATAGAAGACTACTGGCTTAGTTTTAATTATTTTTCTAAGTTAGTTAGTTGCGAAAGCTTTTAAAATCAAATGGGGCTTTTGAGTGTTTGACCCAGATGCCCTTTCACTGGACTGAAAAGTGCAGCATGGAAAAAACACTGGTTAGAGACTAACCCCCCTGCACATGACACTAGCTGCTCTTATTTTGGAAGTGCGGTACAAAGAACAAATATTGGCTGAAGTGAGTTAGAAAATATCATTCCAGGTGCTCAGCTCAGGTGGCTCAGCACGATTTTCTTGATGCTGACACAGAGATTCTGCAACAGCTAAAGATGTAGCCCTTAAATTCTGTCTGTTTTAAAAATATGTTTTCCAAGATTTTCTTAAGATGTAAGAATGTTGCTTTTAAAGATGACATCTGAAAAGTTATTCCATCAATACTTTGCATTACATCTCTGTTAAAAAACTCAGAATAATATCACATTTTTATTTTAAGGTAGGTTTTAATGTAATTTCTTAATAACATTTAGTAGACAAAAATGTCCCAAAGGAACCATTATGATTTGAGAGTTCTTAATATTGTTGTTAGGTACGTTTTATTTAGGAAATCAGGAGCACTGAGAAGCCTACAAGTGAGCGATTAACTTAAAAGCTATAGCTCTGAATAAAGCATTTGTGTAACCAGCGGCTGCTGCTCTCAATCCACTGGTCTTGGACTACTAAAAAGTGTAGTGAAAACAGGGCAACAAATAGACAGATGACTATAGTGTTTACCTTGTTTATGTGCTTTCTCCTGGTATGAAAGCTATTTCTATTCCACCTTAAATATAAGGCAAGTTCTGTGGTCTTAGCACGGCAATTTTTTGTCGTTGTTGTCAAGTGCTTAATTTCATATTTAAAAGCCTTGAGACCTCAATTTAGTCCAGCTCAATCCATTTCATATATCTATAAAAAAAAGCATTAATTAACTTGTTAGGTAAGCAGCATAATGGCTTCGCGTTATGCAAGTCAAGATAAGTCATTTACAGACTCTGCACGAAGGAGGAAGCTGTGTCAGGTGCTGCCACAGAAAGTAGAAGTTTAATAACAACGAAGCACGAGCGGCTCATTCCAGCTAAAATGTATTCCCAAGGCACAAATGAGTATCACATGCACCGAGAATGTTACTCGGGATTTTGCAGAGCCAGGAGTCCTGCTGTGCCAGCTGAATGCTGGATGCTCTAACAGTTGGCAGATAATAACTCAGTCTGCGGTGGTACATGTCATTTGGAATGATAGATTCCTGACATCCACATTGTTATGCAAAATGCCATATCCTGCATAATACCTGTTTGTGACTACAGAAGTGAATCTGGTTCCCCCTTCCCTCCCCTTCCCTCTCCCCACTTCTGTTGTTTCAGTTCCTTCTTTCTCCTGGCTAATACGCAGGCACCTTCCACTTCACAGCTGCTTGCCTGGTCTTTAGTATCTTTCCCCATTATTTACAGGCTGCCTGGTAGTTCTTGCTATAGTTACACCTGATAAAAATTCTTATCTTTTTTACTTCATCAGTTTTTAAAGTTGCTTTGAGTGTAATTGGGCTTTGTCTAATTTCAGTTTTGTTGGTGCTACTGAAGTAGCAGATTCTGAGAAGCTTTCTGAGCTGTTTTGCTGTAACTTTGGTAGTTTGGTCTTTAGGTACTCCATAACTAAATTCAGCTTTTACCTAAGGAAAGGATAATTAATAGAATCTTTGTAATCATTTTTACGGACTATGGAGCTCATGACTTTGAAAGGCTTCCATGTAGGCTCTCTGCACTGTTTTTTGTTTGCTCACATCTGTGCCCAGGCCGTTCAGCATGAGGCTGTCATTGTAGTTTCCACACCTCCATTTTATGTTTTTTTTCCTGCTTTTGCAGTTCTGTTTCTCGTGGTGATTCCTCTTTTCCTCTCTCTGACTTTGTTTGAAAAACCAGGACTTCTGCAGTTGTTTATCGTTAACGTGCTGATGCGCGCTCCAGAAACGCACATTCCTCTGGCTTTGCCCCCGGGATTGCAAGGGTTGTATTCCATGGCCTCGCTGTGTTATTTCTTTTCTCACTCTTGAGAGAGTTGGATGTCAAGATGGTGCTGTCAGACCACTGAATCAAAGGTTTATTTTAGGCATATTTCTTCTAAATTTTATTGCTGATTTAACCCTTCATTAATTTTTAATATTTTCCCTAGTTCTTCTCACAGCAGTAGAATATCAGCCTCTCTGTATCTTTGAGTAGCTGTTTTGTCTTTTTTCTTTGATGAGTGGCGGCCCTTACTTTATCGCTTGAATCCTGTCCTTACCGGAGCTTTCAGAGATGGCCATTTCCTGCTGTTCTCATATTTTCCTGCTTTATTGCAAGCTTCCTTCCTTCCTTCCTGCCTGCCTGCCTTCCTTCCTCCCTCCCTGGAATTTTAGGGGAAGGATTTTTTTCACCTAAAATCAGTTTTCTGCTTCCATATATCGTCTATCAGGAGAGCCCCATTTTCAGAAGGGTTCTTAGTGTGGGAGCAGTAAATTAGCTGCTCTGGATTTCTCTCTGGAGGATCCTCCCTCAGCCTACTGATGGCACAGGGAGACTATTTACTGTGTATTAAGTGACTAGTGGTAGCCAATATTAATAAGAGTCCTTCTTGAATTCCAATTCTAGCCTGATTTTTTTAATGTTTATAACTAGCATTGTGAATACTGTATCTTTTCAGTATTTTTCAAATGCATGATCATAGTCTGATTTTTAAACATTTATTCCATGCTTTCACATGTATAGGCCTTTCTGATCTCTCTGGCCATACCCTGACACAGTTCTCTTGCTTCCTTAATTCTGAATATCTGTCATGCTTGCTTAGCAGCCACATTATTCTTCAGTTACTTTGTTTAAAATGAGAATAGCCAGGCTTCTGTGTATTTTCTGGTGTTATAGAATTGCTCAGGCACAGTGTGTGGAAGATCATATTAAAGATGCTGAACACCAGCACTCCCACTCCCCACAGTATGGAATAAGGATGTCAGGGAGCTTAATTTTATAAAAAAAACTTCTTCCAGCCCCTGGTTTTTGTTTCCTCGTTGTTTTTATTATCCTCTCAAAGTAATGAAGGTAAGAACATCTTCTGAAATATAGAGAGATTCATATGAAATATACCGGTGCTTCATTTGCACTTCATCCTTGAAAATGCATAAAATAAATATAAATATAGCCTTGTGTAGTATTGGATGAATGGCATATGCATAGATTGGCTTATTTAGGAATAGTTTATTAACATAAATGGAGTATTTATAGGGTGCTGAAAAACATACAAGTTGTCAAATGGTGTCTTTATAATTGACTCTCGACTGGTAAAATGAGGCTGGGATTGAATTGTTTTTGTTTCCATCACATGTATGAAATGATTGTAGAACTGCAAAGCTGAAGTGAAAGCATATTTTGCTTTATTAGTTTTAGATGCAGAACTTTCATTCAAGTGCAGCATTTAAGCTGTGTTGACTCTAAATACAGTTGTAGGAGGAAAAGGGATTTTCTCCAGAACTGTTATTGGTGGAAGAAAATACATTTATGCTTTTCTTCTGCAGTGTCAGCAGTTAGTTAGTTAGTGTTTCAGTATTAAGCTAAAACAGAAAAACTTAAATAAATAAATAAATAAAACCCCACAACAGCTGTTTAAAGAGTTTGAATAGAGGTGAATCTGTATAGCTTGCTTTTTATTTAGTTGAAATTCAAATAGTTAAATAATGAGGAATAAGGTATTTGGGTTTTTATTATTTTACTTTCTTAACAAGGGTAAGACAAGTAGGGTCATTCATTTTCCAAAATACACAAAACCAAATTTTCAGTCATATATATTTGTCTGATGCTATTTAATCAAACTGTTACTTTAAACTGGATAAAATGTCTTTTTCATAAATAGACATGAGAAAAGAATGACCCTATCGCTCTTTATGTGTGTGACAAAACAGCATTTTAATTTCTGTGTTTTTGTTTAGATCGGGAATGTCGAGAGGAGAATCGGTGAAACTCACCGCCGTCCAGAACAACGATGAAGATGAAAGCAGTTCTTTGTGTGGATCTTCTGACCTACCTGGTCCTTCTAAGCAAGCAGCCCTTGAGGATCACGAGCAGAAAGGTGCTAAAATCCCACCATTGCCAGAGAGGGATCGTTGCCCACCTCCCTGTACCATGGAGCAGGCTCCAGCCAAGGAGCTGGTGTCAGAATCAGAAGATATACTGATACCCGAGGAATCCATCATTCAGGAGGAGATTGCTGAGGAGGTTGAGACGAGTATTTGTGAATGCCAGGAGGAGAACCATAAAACAGAACATGAGTTTTCTGAGGAGTCAGTAAGTCCAGCAGGCACAAATGAAGAAACGGAGGCAGCGCAGCTTGGAGACAGTGCTGAGTCTTGTGTCACGATGAATGATGTAGCTGATACTGTGTCTCACATTGAAATTAAAGTGGAGGTGAAGTCAGAATGCCCTCAGGAGGAGATGTCAGTTGTGACAGATCGGCTGGAGGATTGCGTGTCGCCGGCACGATCAGCCTCATCCACAAACTCTGTCAGTGATACAGCAGAGAGGGATCCTGAGTCTGCAAAAGAGCTAATTGCTCCAGAAATGCCAAATGCTGCTCTGGAAGGCTCCTTGTTCACTGGTGGAGGCATTGCGGTGGATATGGAGCTTCAAAGTGACCCTGATGAACAACTGTCCGAAAATGCCTGTATTTCGGAAACTTCCTTTTCCTCTGAAAGTCCAGAAGGACCATGTGTCTGCATTGCCTCTCCTGGGGGAGACACTCAGTCGACTTCAGAGGAACCCTGTACTCCAGCATCTCTTGAAACAGCTTGTTCATCTGAAGGGTCCAGTTCTGAAAACACTGACGGTGACATTCAGCAAAAGGCCACTGATGAAAACTTGAACACACCCCTGATATCAGAAATTTCTCCAATGTCCACCTCACCTGTAGCTTCAGAAGCATCTCTTATGTCAAACTTACCTTTAACATCAGAGGCATCACCAGCTTCTAATTTACCTTTAACATCAGAAACATCTCCTGTGTCTGATTTACCTTTAACATCCGAAACATCTTCAGTATCTTCTGTTCTTCTGGCCTCGGAAACCTCTGTGGCAAATAGTTTACCTCTTCCATCAGAAACATCTCCAATTTCTAATTCCTCCAGTAATGAAAGACTTATTTTGCAACAGAGGAAATCACCATGTTTGTCGGAGGACTCCCTTCCCGCTTTGAAAGAAGAAAGCTCTACCATTCCTAAGGTTGTTCAAGAGGAGAATCTTGTTCTTCAGCCAAAGCAGCTTCAGAGTGCACCTGAAAATATGAAAGTTGGTCCACTAGCAATTGTGCCAGATATTTCAATATTGGAAGAGACGCAAAGCAAAAGCCTCAGTCATCAGTCATGTAAGTCACATTCTGAAATTGAGAAATCCTACATTGCATCCATCCCAGAACACTCTCCACCAGAAGTAATCAAAATTAAAAACCACAGTGTTCAGCAAAGAAGTGACAAGAAAGGTACTGTCCTGTCATCAGAGGTCGGTGTCTTATCAGAAGGATCAGTGGGCAAAAATATTGAACTGCTTCCATCAAAACCACATGATAAACTGTATACCTCATCTCTGGAGAAAGCTTCGTTCTCCGAAGTGGGCAGAAGCAAATCTCACAAAGTACCTGGCAGCACCCAAAGCCGCCTGGAGAGTTCACATTCTTCCAAGTCATTAGAACCCACAAAATCAGCTGAAGTGAGGAACGAGAGTAGAGACCCAGAGATCCCAAAGAGAAAAACAGCAGAACAGCACAGTTTTGGAATCTGCAAAGAGAAGAGAGCTAGAATAGATGATGATCAGCCCAACCGTAACGCTTCATCGACGAGTCCATCTGATAAAGATCAGCCCCCCAGAGAAGAACCCCGAGTTCCACCCCTCAAGGTAAAGTAGTGAAACAGGCTGATTTGGAGACTAAGGGTTTATTAGCCCTCCTCTGCTGACTACCTGTACACATAATGTGTGCTGCATTTTTTTGTGATGTGAGTGAGTTTACTACTGACCTTTAGCTTTACTCTTCCATTCCTACTGTGCCAAATTACCTCCTGATACTGGTTTACCTGTAAGTGTTCAGTCAGATTCTTTGCTACAGAATTGCTTCTGTTCATGGAAAAGCTTTTCAGCCTCCATGGCTTGGTCTAGTTCTTGAGCCTCTCCTCACTTACACAGTGCTACTTGCCTGTCTTCTGATTGCCCAACTGTATTGCTCCCTTATTCTCCCGCAAATGGGTTCTCCAAGAAGCACAAATAAAAAATATTACCAAACAAATACTGAGAAAACCAATTAGTGCCTTAATCCAGCAAGAGAATCTGAAATTAGAACCAACCAACATTTACAAATCCCCTTGTGAGGCCATGGCTTGGTTAAGGGTGAAATGTAAGAACTCCCTGTAGACTTAATTGAAAGCAGAGATCTTGTTATCGAGGGAAGTGGCTAATTGATATCTGTACAGATATCCTAGTTAATGGCAAGGAAAAAAAAAAACTATACACCAGCTAAGTGTATCCTTTTTACCTATTATTTTGCTATGCAAAGAAGTGAATTCCAGTTGAAAAACTCCCCCTGCCCAAGACAGGGATCTATAGATTTAATTAGATTTAGTCTCAGCATTTTGTCCTCATAATTTGGTACATGATGATCCAGTTTTCCGGACTTAAACCATTGGCTTTGCAATAGTAGTTCCTAATTATTCAGAGATGCCCTTTTCTGCATTTATTTTTAACTACTGCAATCACTGAGCATTGTTAATATGGCCAGGGGGGCAAATACAGTAACTGTTTTAATCACTAGCATGGCAGCATATTTCAGCTAATTTATTTTTATGAGCAGTGATGCAATTGGAAGTTAGCCCATTCTCAGTCTAGTAATATTTTTTCATATTTGGAAAGTGTCTATCTAGCCTAATAAATTGCAATCATTCTCTAAGCACAAAGAAAAGTAGATCACTGGGGAAGGAGAAAGGTCATAAGTATGTATTTCTATGTATAATAAAAATAATCTATGTATAATAAAAATAATCAAGCTATTAGAGCTTTAGCAGTTCTGATGATGCAAAATAGAAACTGAAAAAATTGATGTTGAAATGAGAAGCAGAATGTTTAGAAGTAATTGTAAGATTGTAATACACTTCAAGTACATTCATATAAATGTTAATTCAATTGTTAAACAATAGATGGAGAAATCTGACGATGCAAGAGATTGGTTACAAATAATGGATTTTTTCTTACATATCATGCCAGACAGAAATCCAACTGAAAAAGCATAGTACCAAATTCAGAATTCGTCTTTTGGCAGAGGTTTGTTAACATATATAAAATGGAGCAAGCCTGACTCCTGTTCTCATGAAAGAGGGTTTCACAAAGCTTCACAACATTAGGCACCAGTGAGCAGTGTTTATTGACAGGCTGAGAACTGACCTGTTTGCAAGAGTGAAATAGCCCAGTCCTCCAGACCAGAATAGAGCCTGCCCAAGTGTAGGGGTGTCTGAAGAGACTTACCCTGTCGTTGTCTCTCTGATAAAAGTGGTTGTATGTGGGAGAACCATCTTCATTTTGGTTTCCACTCATCCCTAATGGAAAATCAGATGCTTTCAGCCTTGCCCAGTCTCGCCAAATTCATCTTCCTGAAGCCTCCAGTCAGTGAATGAAGATATTGAAACACTGTTTGTCTAAAAAATAACTGCACAGTCATTTCAAGAATGACTTTGTGTGAAATACATATTTGGCCTTTATCTGATTCCACCCAAAACACCCTATCTTTTATTATTAAAAAAGGGAAAAGGATCATGATTCTTCTAAGGCCCTGTCACATAACTCCTACTTCCCATCATACCTTATGACTGACCATTTCCTACAAGTGCTACCTAGCACTAAGTTTCTTTCAGAAGAGAAAACACAACATTAATCAGTAAGTCCTGTTGTTATGGACAGGTAGTAAACCTATGTCCCTTTATAGAAATTGGAAATTTTTGCCAAGCCCTGGTTATCCAAGATTGTGTAGGAGCTATACAGTGCCTCCAGGACTCTTAATCTGTAAACTTGAAAACATAATTCCAGTGATTTTACAGGTTATTCTTTTGCTTAAAAAATTGGATATTTAATTAATATGTAGATTTTTAGTATTTGTGAGCTTGAAGGTTTCGTTTTTGAACTGCAGTAGTGCAGGAGGTGTGCCAGGGATGCACTAAAGTGGGTGTCTCGAAATTGTGAGTGAGGAAGGGAAAGGTGCATCCTCTGGTGATTCACTTTTATCCTACTAATTAAAAAGTTCTGGGGTGTAGCATGTTCTGTGGCGAGTGGAGACTTTTCTGTGTCCTGTGTAGAGGCAAGATTGATTGCCCATTGAATGAAGTGGAGTCTCAGTGGAGACCAAAGAGCAAAAGCACTACAAGATGCTTATTTTTTTTCACATATCTGCAGCTTAGTGCTTAGTAATAGGGGCTTTTTTCTATGTCTGTTGGTCTTCTCAATCGGATACACTCCAGATCAAACAGGTTTGGCATTATCAGATAAGCATTATCTTGTCATCCAGTTCAGCCTTCTTTATTCCTGTCAAAGGGGCCAGGCTAATACAGGTGTCCGTTATTCCTGCCAGAACATGATAAAATACAGCAGTGTAAATATAATTAATTTTTATCATTTTTCTTTCCAGCTGCGCTGAACAATATTTCCCTTCCCTATCCATCTCTGAGCCTTTTAAGAGATAGCACGTCTTTTAAGATTCTAGCACATCTATGATCTCATAAAAAATACTGTTTTTTTTTTCCTTCCCGTAGATTCAACTCTCAAAGATTGGACCACCCTTTATCATAAAGAGCCAGCCTGTTTCCAAACCAGAACCTCGAGTTTCCCCGAGCACGTCAGTGAGCAGCGGGAGAAACACTGGGGCTAGAACCCTTGCAGATATCAAAGCACGAGCTCAGCAAGCAAGAGCGCAGAGAGAAGCTGCGGCGGCGGCAGCCGGGGGCGCGAGCATCGTCTCGGGAGCGATGGGGACCCCGTGCGAGGGCGGGAAGACGAGGACACTGGCACACATCAAGGAGCAAACGAAGGCCAAGCTGTTTGCAAAGCACCAAGCCCGAGCTCACTTACTGCAGACGAACAAAGAAACGAAGTCACAGTTCAACTCAAAGGAAAGTACCTCATCTCTAGAGATCCCAGCTTCCACTGATACAAAGATTGAAGGTTCTACTGGTGTCATTATAGTTAATCCTAATTGCAGGTCCCCTAGCAACAAATCTGCTCATCTTCGGGAGACTACGGCGTTATTGCAACAGTCACTTAACACAGCTACATTACCAGAACCTGCTACTGACATACCGGTGCACAGTTCTGATGAAAATATACCTATGCCACAATCGTGTGAGAAAATTATTTCATCTACCTCTACTGAAAATAACAGTGTGCCAGTGCTTTATAATAAAAATTCAGTCTCTGTGTCTGCTTGCAGCACTGCTATGTCTGGAGCAATTAAAGAACTTTCTTTTGCAAGTTCTGTTGATAAATCTTCTGTTTTAATGTCTGTTGACAGTACAAACACAGCAGTTTCAGCTTGTAATCTAAATATGCTGAAATCCATCCAAGGGGCTGATACGGCATGCATAGCCGTTGCACCAAAATGCATTGATAACAGTAACGTGCCAGTCTCCATAGAGAGCACGGGCTTATCGAGTGCCATCGAGGACAAAAGGTTGCCACTACCAAGTAGCAATGCGAGCAATGCAGTCTCCAGTCACTATGCCACTGTGCCAGCTTCATCTATTGCCAGTAATTTGCCAAATCATCTCTCTGGTAGTTCTGTACTGATTCCCCCGGTGGGGACTACCAACAGATTTTCTTCTGATAAGATAGCCATAACTGGGTGCAACGAGCAAAGCACTGTCTCCATTCACACCACTGCTAGGGCAGCTTTGAGTTGCAGTGAGGCTGTTGCAGTAGCAGACTCTGTTGCAAGGCCACCCATTTCTATGTTTACTGGTAACATGATGACAATAAGCTCTTACGATAACGCTACTAAATTAAATGCTGATCTCTTAGAAAAAAGCTCCGGAGCGCGAAACCGAATGGATCTCACGGGTAAATCTCAGCCCGTGAGCTTTACGCAAACTGCCATGAATAGATCTATACCTTGCAAAGTCATTGTAGACCACACCACAAATCTGAATTCCAGCCTGTCACTGTCTTCTTCTATTGAAAGTGCAGAGAACAGCATAGACCTGCAAAGCAGACCCGTGAGGGCAGAAGCTGCCTTACAAAGTATCGCATGTCCTCAGGTCTCAGTAATAAGCAGGCCTGAAGTAGTTTCTAATGAAAGCCTTGAGCACAGTTCCAGCTTTATGACCATTGCAGCAAAGCAAGACGGCAAGAACTTGCAGGCAAGTTGCTCCGGTCTTCGAGAAGTGCCTCTTGCTCCTCAAGATAAATTAATTGAGGTGGTTGCTTCCAGCCAAGGTTTTGTTGAGCAGTTAAGAGGTCCTTCAGCCTTTAAAAGTGAAGCAGATGCTGCCTGTGCCAGTCAGTATAACACGAACAGTCGAATTTGTTGGCATGATGAAGAGGCAATGAACACAGACCAGCCAGTGGTCAGCCATCTTAACTCCCATAAGCATAAAGAATATGCTGAGCAAAACTGTTTGAAAAATGTCAAAACCGAACCTTCCAGTTACACGCAGATGTCTGAACTGCAATCCAGGAGTCTTTTGACAAGCATGGCTGTTCCCGTGAAATCGGAGACTAGTGAGTCTGACAAGTGCTTCAGGATGGACACCGAGGACTTTACGGGACCCGAAATGCCAACGCAGCCTGCAGAAATAGCCACAAGTGTACAGCCAGCCCAGACCTCCAAGACATCCCTTACCGATGCCATGGAGGACCCTCTGTCACTGACAACGGACACCCTGAAGAGAGTGTCAGGCGCTGGGGGCTCTGGCTGCCGCCTGTCGTCAGTGGAGGCCAACAACCCCCTGGTGACACAGTTGCTGCAGGGCAATCTACCCCTGGAGAAAGTGCTGCCGCAGCCCAGGTCTGGGGCCAAACTGGAAATTAACAGGCTCCCCTTGCCTTTGCAAACTACCTCAGTATGTAAAACGGCAGCGTCCGAGAGAAGTATCGCTGAGCATCCTTCCAGCTCTCCTAATCCGGATGGGAAAGGATTCGCGGCAGGCAGCATAGCCCCGCTACAAATCAGGAAGCGGGAAAACCATCCGAAAAAGAGGATGGCCAGGACCGTGGGGGAGCACGCTCAAATTAAGTGTGAGCCTGGGAAGGTGTCAATGGACACAGATGTTAAAGCGGCTCCTTGTGTAATTAGTTCCAGCATGAACCAGCTAGGGCACGGTCAGCCGTTCAAGCAGGAGTGGCTGAACAAGCACGCGATTCAGAGCCGGGTCGCTCACAGCCCGGAGATCAAGCAGCAGAAGAGGCCGCTGCCTTCGTGCAGCTTCCAGCAGAGCTTGTTTCACGTTGATAAAAACGGCAGCTTTCACGCAGAAGCTAGTACCTCACACAGACAGCATTTTTACCAAATGTCCATGGCTGCAAGAGGCCCCGTTCCTACGGCAGCTTTGCTGCAAACCACTTCAAAAGGCCCGCCTGGCTGCAATGCCTTTGCTTTCAGCAGACACCTGGAACAGAAGGGCTTGGGAGACGTGACTATGTCCGCAGCCGCTCCCCAGCTGAGGCTG